AAAATTCCCTTGACCAGAGTGGTCTCCGAACAAAAATCGGTTCAGTACTTTTTGAGATATGAGTATTTATTAGAACGAAAACAGTTGAAAATATTGCCATTTTTATTTCATAGTGGTTCATTCCGGCCACCACTTTCACTTCCAATATTAAATAATGGTACGCATAACTTATATCATTGTGACAGGTATAAAATTATCTTTCCTAGGCTGGTATCCGAATGAAAATCCATGATATATTATAGGAGATACAGCCTAATATATACAATAAATCAACAAAATAATCTTCACGCCTGAGTGCATTCCGGGTTTTGTCCTCACCCCTTAAAGGCTAAAGCTTGTTTTGTAAAAAAATAATTTTCAAGTCCTTTTTGTGTTCAACGCAAACTTAGTTTTTATTAATTATACCAAACTGATGAATAAAATAAAACATCGTTTCCCGAATCGAACTTTAAAAAAATATAGGCATATGGTAATTAGTGCACTGTCGTTTAAATGTCTTTTTTTGTTATGGTACTTATAAAAGTTGTATTGGAAACAACTTGGGATGCTATGTTGACAAAGTGTGAAAAAAGACACACAGATTAGCAAACAAGAGAAGTGTATACGTCTCTGAGAAAACCGAGGTCACGGATATAATTTTTGTTCATTATATCTGTCCCCGTGTGACGATGACAAGGGTAAATTGTGTGGTTGTGAAAACCAGAGACGTATATATTACATATGTAATATACGTCTCTGTGAAAATTAATATATAAGTACAGAATTACGTCTTGGATGTAAAGTTCACCACCTCCAGTCTTTTTGTAAATATAAACTTCATTTTACAACAATTATGAAACAAGTTTTTACAACTTAAATTAATCACTCTTGTTGGTCCGAATGTTAGCGCGCGGGGGATCTGACTGTGGAGGGAAACCGGAGTTCCCGGAGAAAACCCATGTGTTCGGGCAGGTGACCCCATACCTTTTCATGTCCGATTGGGAGATCGAACCCCAGCCGCCTTGGGGAAAGGCAAGTGCGCTATCCAATGTGCAACCGCCTCTAGTTTATTTGTCACTAAACACATCTACAATACAACACTACGGTATGTATCTAACGTTCACCACCTCTAGTTTATTTGTCACTAAACACATCTACAATACACCACTACGGTCTGTATCTAACGTTCACCACCTCTAGTTTATTTGTCACTAAACACATCTACAATACAACATTACGTCTGTATCTTATGTATTATCTTATGGATAAAAATATCTGATTGTGAAGGAATTGCTCAGAAATTCAATGATGATCACTCAAGTGGTATTGAAGGATTTAAAAACAAATTAAGATATGTGCTCCAAACAACGAAAGACTGTCAACGACGTTACTACAATTAACGACTGCCTTGAGTCGACATCCCGATCTGTTGAACAAAACAAACATACATTGGTTACGTTACAGAAGCAAATGAATGACGTCAAGCGACAAGTAAAGCAAGGGAAAGAAGAACACTCCGAACAGCCCTCGACTACTGTGAAGAAAGGACAATGCGGATCATCCAAAACTGCTACACCACCATCTTCTCCACGTCATTCGCCGACAACATCACCTATTAGTCTACCCAAAGGCACTCAATGGAAAACTCCAGAACTTGCACGCGATGTAACAAAGGATCAAACCTCCGTTCAGCCTACCTTTGACCATTTCGTTCAAACAGAAAAGGGTTCAGTTAATAGGCAATCGATGGGGCCCATAGTTGCGATCCCGGTCCATTTCCCTTCTTCCGTGTGCGACTCTGATGATTTGAAAAAAGCTGAGGAACGTAACTTATCACCAGTAATTTCCTCTGGCTCACGGTTTGTTGGATTCATTCCTAGAAAGAAAAGGAGAGTCAGACGGTATTACATTCACGGAATTGACAAAAAAGTGTCATCCGAGAATGCTTTGTGCGATTACCTGTATGAGAACTCCATCACTTACACTTATTTAAGATACTTCGCTCGGTCGTGGAAACGCACTGCATCGGCTCAACTGAATGTAGCGGACGATGAAGCCATTACAAAATGTATCGAAGATCCCACATTTTGGCCAAAAGGTGTCCACGTTCGAGAGTGGTTGCCCAGAACTGTCTTCCAGAACCAACATGATGACACCGAATAACTTTAACTTCATGTGTTGGAACATAGAAGGTATTATGGCCGGTATGCCCTACCTTCTAGATTGCTTTCATAAATATGATGTTGATGTATGTGGTATCTCTGAGCATTGGGTCAGGGAATGCAATATTTCGTTTTTTGAATCTTTTAAAAACACTGGTTACTCGTGTTTCGTTAAACCTGTCAACGAAATCGATCCTTTTCGCTATAGATGCAACATTAGAGGTGGTGTTTGTATGTTATTCAAAGAGAATTTGAGAGTACAAGAAATTATTGTCGATAGTCCAAGAATCTTAGGTCTTGAAGTTCAAATGCTAAATAATGAGTACCTTTACGTTTTCTCCGTTTATATGCCTGCGACCTCCAGGTCGATTGATGTTTTGTTAGATCAAATAGATATTTTAGAATCTNCTCCGTTTATATGCCTGCCACCTCCAGGTCGAATGATGTTTTGTTAGATCAAATAGATATTTTAGAATCTGTAGTTTCTGTATATTCCGAGAAGGGAAAAGTTGTTATACTCGGAGATATGAACGTGCAAATCAAAGGTAGCCGGTGTCGATTTGCTGGTAACGACAGATCTTTAAGAGTTCAAGCTTTTTTGAATAGTACAAATATGGAATCTGTAAATGTGACGGACAAATGCAAAGGTCCAATGTATACGTACTATCCAACAACGGGATATTTCACTACTATCGACCATATTATTATTGACTCAAGTTGTTTCGATTTGGTTAAACACTGTGAAGTTTTAGATGATCATGAGTTAAATGTTTCTGAACACAATCCTGTAATTTGCATGATGAATATTCCTAAACAATTTTGCAAAGTTTTAAGTCCCGAATGGGTCAGATTTAATTGGAAAAAAGCTGAAATGAATGGATCTGTTGACTTTTATAGATATCATGTAAATTGTCACCTCAACAATGTTGAGATACCTGATGATATTGTACATACTAATGATATTGATATATTTTACAACAAAATCAAATGCTGTTTAATTGAGGCGTCAGACAAGTCATTTCAAAGAAGTTTTTTTAAGAAGTATTTGAAACCATATTGGAGCAAGGAATTATCTGAATTGCGCAATGAAATGGTTTCCAAGAGGTCGTTTTGGAATGCGTCTGGCAGACAAAGAGGGAAAAATAATTTGTTCATTGAATACAAGGCTTTGAAAACAAAATTCAGACGATGTCTTCGTCATGCTTTTAATATATATATGAAATAACAATTCGCCGAAATAGATAAATCTGGAGACGTTGACCAAAATCTCTTCTGGAAACTATTTAAAAATAGTTCTAACAATGCTGGTTGTTGCCAATCAGAAATGAAGTACAATGGCACCACATTACGTGAACCCGAACAAATTGTAGATGCTTGGGGTCATCATTTTAGTAAGTTGTTCAATAATGAAACGCTTGAGTCGTTTGATAAAAACTTTTTTCAAGATGTATTACTTAAGGTAAATGAAATTCAAAATAAGTCTAATCAAGAGAAAGATATATTTCTGTCAGAATTGTTTACCACGGACGACATGCGGGTAGTATGTAAGAAACTTAAGAATGGCAAAGCTGGTGGGTATGATAGCCTGGTCTATGAACACATTAAGTATGGAGGTGATAGATTACTAAGCCTCATTACCAAATTGTTCAACCTCATTGTAAAATATGAGCATATACCTGAAGACTGGAAAAAAGGAACAATTTTTACTTTGTACAAGGGCAATGGAAAACCCAAAGACGACCCAAACAGTTATAGGGGTATAACTCTTATACCCGTCTTTTTTAAAATATTCGAGTCAATTTTGTCTCTCAGAATGGATTCTTTACTAGATTCAGAAACGTTTCCAAACAGACAGCAGTCGGCTTATATGAAACATTTATGTAGTCTATGCACTTCCTTTAATTTACAGGAATGCGTGAGATACAACCTAGAAAATGACTCTGATTCTTTTGTTGCATTTTTAGATAGCAAGAAAGCTTTTGATACTGTTTGGCACGAAGGGTTACTTCTCAAACTGTACAAAATAGGATTTAAGGGCAAAATTTTGACTATATTAAAAAATATGTATACCGGTTTTGTAAGTCATGTCGCCTTGAAGGGTCACCAGTCATCACCTGTCCTCATTAAGAGAGGGATCTTACAAGGGGGGGTCATTATCTGCAAAAATGTACCTGGTTTTTATTAACGATTTACTAAATGATATCGAATCGTCAGGTAAAGGAGCTTTTGTTATTGATACCAGGGTTAATATTCCCACACAAGCAGATGACATATGTTTGATCAGTAACACAAGTATTGGTTTACAAGATATGGTTACAATTTGCGAAAACTATAGTCGTAAATGGAGATTTTCATTCTCTGTTGATAAAAGTAAAATAGTTGTTTTTACAAAAGGCAGAAGACAAGTCTTGGTAAAAGATGTGAATTTGTATGGTAAAGCATTACCAGTTGTTGAAAACATTACGCATGTCGGTGTTGTTTTGAATTTCAAATTGTGTACATCGGACAGGACTGAGTCTGTATGCAAGAAACTAAAAAGTGGAACCATGGCTCTTATTCGATCTGGTGCTCATCCTAGGACCCTTAATCCTCTAACAGTTGCAAAGCTGATTAAGGCTAAAGTTTTCCCGTCTGCCCTGTACGGGTGTGAACTATGGCAACTGTCTAGAACAGAACTAATCAAATTAGAGCGCGCTCAAAATTTTATCGTAAAATCCATTCAAGGGTTAAACATTAGAACTAGAACTGATATGGCCAACTCCTTAATTGGATGGACCTCCATAGAAGGTTACATTGATATAAGAAAACTTTTATTTCTCGGTCGTCTTTGTAGACTGGACAGTAAATACTTAACTTATACTATATTTCTCAAACGCCTATTCATGCATATTTTGAAAGAGTCCTGTCAAACTGGTTTTATTCCTGATATTGTGAGAATACTTCGCAAGTATGATTTGTTTAATTATCTGTTGCAGTATATATCAGATACAGTTTTTCCAAGTAGTTCATCATGGAAGTCAATTTCCTATAAAGCAGTTTATAATTGGGAAGAATTAATGATGTACGATAGAATGAACAACGATTCAGATTTCACAAGATTTTTGCTCATTCATGATGTAATTTCTCCACATATTTTATGGACAGTAGCATTAAAATTCCCTGAACATCTAAGCAAGATAAGCAATATAGTTCGATTATGTGCTAATTTAAGATCAACAAATATTATTGAATTATGCCATTTTTGTGGTATTTTACATAATGACTGTATAACACATACAGTAATCCATTGTACAAAAACTGAAAGTCTTAGAGACGATCTATGGTGTCTTATAAGTACGGCTTTTGATATAGAACTTGGCGTGTTCTTATCCTCTTTGTCTGATTATGATTTAATTCATGTATTACTAGGGGGTAGCCTTCCCCACATATTAAGCTCAACTGATTATGTAACCTTTGTACTGCATAATGCTATTTTTATTGACAAAATGTTGCTGTTGTATCAGCGTTAATAATGATATAACACGTACAAACGTACGTACAATAGCAATGTCTAAATTTTTTTCTCTCTTATTTTGTGTGTGTTTATGTGTGGGTAAGGCTGAGAAGACCTTGTTGGTAGGGCTTTCCCCAACCCTTGGAAACCTCAGGATTCCCAGGCATTCTAATTATTTTGTATGATTTGCTGTTCTTTCTGTATTTACTAAACTAATTCAAGTTTCATTAACTTCTCTCTTCATCTCTGTAGTTAACTGATGTATTTATGTGCATGTAAGAATCAATTTATAATATTTGATTTGTATTTTGACTACACTGTATATTTTTGTAACTTCAATTTGGAGGAAATAAAGAAATAATAATAATGGTCGCTCAATTGGTAGAGCGTTCGTCTAGAGTTCGGAGGGTCTGGGTTCGAATTCCGGTCTGGTCGTGCATTTTCCCTCTCCTGTTACACACATACACATCATAACATTACGGTCTGTATCTAAAGTTCACCACCTCTAGTTTATTTGTCGCTGTTCAAGTGACACATTTACAACTTACATCCCGGAATTACAGTTAAACTATACGATATAATAGGGAGACGGAAATACAAAGTTCAAACCGAAACCGGACGAAAATAACCACTATCACTTCTTTTCTTGGGCCTCTGGCGGGGTTTATATATTTTTGTCAAAGCAATGTGACTCAGTTTCCGCTGCATCCCGACCAACCCTTATCACTGGTCAGTCTATGACACATGCTGAAGTTATATTACTAGTAGGTCTGACAAGTCTGTCTAGACATTTTATCGCTGATATTATACATAAATATAAAATTAGGATTGATTCTTTTTAGACTTCCGTATAGTACGGATATCGCAAGGCATTATTACACTAAAGGAAAGTATAACGATATTACACTAGGTTTTAGACGGGAAGTATAAGAATAACACGATTTAAAAAAGGGATTTGGGACTGGTGTTTCTGGGATGAATCCTGGAGTCTAAAGATGGCAAATCTGTACAGTTTAAAAAAACATTCGTGTGTCTTTCAGACTCTACGCAAACGGATTTCGTACTGATTTTAAGGTAGGTTTCTTACAGTACACCTGTTGTGTGATATTATGTAAGTAGCTAGCTCAGATCACAAGGACGTGTGCAGTTATTACAGTTGATAAACATGCTCGGATCTAAGTATGTTTCAGGGTTTAAATCAGCTCTCGGTAACATACATTTCACTCTCTCCAAATCAGGATATATCTAAATACACCGACTGTGAGAATTTCCCAGGTCACTGTAATTCATATCCAATAGAATCATCGATCCTCTGCATGGATACTTACAAATATTATAAAGTTAATTTCATTTTAGTGGAGTGACGAAAAAAATCTAAGGGGAGTAACTCTGACTACCCTATTAAACGGATTCTGACTCGAGGGCAAAAAGTGTTCTGTTGTCTACGAAATACAATAAAAGAAGAATTTGAGACGTATTACCTAAAAAGTATAACAAACTTGTAATGTAAATATAATCGTTGAATTAATTAATGTTTTCATTTGACCGTGTGATTGGGCATGTGAATTACAACTGGCCGTTACTCAGAAACAGGCATCACATGCGACTCTCACAGCTGTATATAGAAGCTTTTCTCTTAAATCATTCTATTTTATAATGATTGATTATACGACGAGCTCAAGTTTCTAAGTAATGAATTAAAAACACTTTTTGCTTTCGTTTTTGTTTTAACTTGAAAGTCATTCAACCAACCAATCATTCTATTTTATTTATTTCTCAATTGAAAGATTTTTATATACAAAATTAAACAAATAAATGATCAGAACATATTGATATAATGCTATTTTTTCTTTTAACTATTTAGGCATTATTGCAGGATTGTGATTATCCCTACACCTCGTCCCTGCAGGTAAGGCGTAAGAATTGTACCTGCAGTGCTGCTCCAATTGCATGATCGTAAAAGGCAACTAAATTTGGGATCTTATCTTTTCTCTTCTAAACAAGTTGTTTCAAAACAACTTTCTTCTTCCTAATGTCTCCCTTGAGAATGCCTCACTTTTGGCCTTTAGTTGAGCGTACGCTCCTGTGAGGAAGGCTCTGGGTTCTGTCCTCTGGCCGAGACATACCAGAGTCTGTAAACGCTCAGCACTTGAGGAGTGGGACGACTGGTTCGCCCGTTGTCAGTATAATATCACAACGACAATTTCTGGTCGTTGTAATGTGTAGTTCGACAGTAGAATTCCAAGATGTTGAATTGTAGTCCAAATATAAATGTATTAGAATAACTTTCTCTAGGTCGGTTGGTGACTTCTGGAGTATCCAAAATCACACCCGTACAGTCCTATCTGATTACCAAACATGTAGAACAGTTTAAGTTTAAGTTTTATTTATTCACTCCGACACACTTACGTGTGTAACAAGAGGTCACATACATATAGTAAGTATGATACATGGCGTGTGATGTACACAATTACAACATTGTACATAGCATAGATACATATAGAAGTACACAAATAGTACAGAAATTAAGTTAATATTTTTTCAAGCTTTTCTATGAATTTACAAAGTTTTGTGTAAATTTTTACATTAAATATATTAAACAATCCTTGCATTTTTAATTGACTTGGATAAGTGAAATAATATTTTGGTATATATTTCTCTCTTAGACATTTAACTAAAACACTTTCACATATAAATAAGTAATGAAATTCATCTCCAATGTACAAATTACATAATGTACAGGTTCTTTCTTGACGAGGAATACCTAACCATCTTCCTTTTTCTATGGGTAAATGCATATTGCAAGAACGGAATTTACACATTATTTTCCTATCATTTGTATTAAGTTTAATTAAATATTTTTCTTGTTCAAACTTTGTCTTTAATATTGAATATGTTTGTCCTCTAGAGGAGTTAAGAATATTATCAAACCATTTCTGTATAAATTGATCCTTCAGTCTACTTTTCACAAGCCTCTTAATTTCGTCTTTTGAAAAAGAACATGTAGATTGATAGTACCACACATAGTTCAGGCCAGTTTGAGAAAAAATATCTTTAACATATGCGAGCCATTTAAATAACATAGTTCCATTTTCATGTAATGTATACATAAGCTTATAAATAGTACTTGATAACTTACTAGAGGTAATCAACTTATGCCAGAATACTATTATTCTACATTTAATTTCGATGTCTAGTGGGTATCTTCCAAGCTCACCATAAACAATGAAATTTGGTGTACTTTTTCTTACATTTAGTATATATTTACAAAATTGAAGATGGATTTTTTCTATAATATTTGTGTTTTCAAAACCCCATATTTCTGATGAATAGAGAAGAACTGGCATAATTAATGAATCAAATATCTTCAATTGTAGATCAACTGGTAAAGATATGTTTCTCAATTTCTTATAGACAGCAAACACTGATTTCTGTGCTTGTTCAACAATTTTTTTCCTTGCTTTAAAGAAGCTACAACTAAAATTAAAGAATAATCCTAGATAGGTATACCCTTCCAGTATTTCTAATTCTACGTTACATAATGTAAAATGGGGAGTTCTTGCACATTTTCTTTTTGAAAAGATGACAATTTTAGTTTTTCCTGAATTGATAGTTAACTTCCAAGTATTACAGTATTGTTCAAATTCATTTAAAGCTAACTGTAAACCATCTGGTGTTTCTGAAAACAGGACAGTATCATCGGCATATAAGATAATGAATAGTTTGAGATACACTCCAATGTTATCAATACATAATTTGTCTATTGTTTGAAGACAATTTACATTTTTTTCAACAAGATAAGTTTCTAAATCATTTAAATAAATTGCAAACAAAAATGGCGATAAATTTTCGCCCTGTTTTAAACCGATCTCACAATTGAACAAATCCGACTGTTCACATCCATTTTTAACACATGATTTGGTTTTATCATATAGCTTATAAATAATATTGAAAATTTTTCCAGTAATGTTGCTTTTTTGGAGCTTTTTCCACAGACCAACTCTCCATACAGAATCGAACGCCTTACTAAAATCGATGAACGTACAATAAAGTTTTTTTCCTAATGAAAAATATATTGAGATTAAAGAATACAATACAAACATGTTATCGGTTGTAGAATGACCCTTTCTAAACCCAGCTTGTGCACTGCTTATCAGGTCAAATTCGTCAGAAATTTTATTTAAACGATTATTAATAACCGAAGTGAAAACTTTGCCAAGGCACGAGACTAAAGTGATCGCTCTATAATTATCCGGATCTTTTGGATCGCCTTTGTTTTTATATACTGGTTTTATAATACCGATCTTCCACACATCTGGTATAGACGCAGTATTCAGAATAAGGTTAAATATTTTTTGATAAATTGGTAAAAATACATCCATTGTACTTTTTAGATATTCATTTAGGATTTGATCTATACCAGAGGCTTTACTATTCTTCAAATTGATTAAAGAAAATTTAATTTCATCAGTGGTAATTTCACCATTCAGATAATCATCAAAAATACTATTATCAGGATTTTCCAGCTCAAAATCGTCATCATCATAAACAGACTTGTTCAGATCCTTAAAGTATTCATATAATTCAGTAATACATATATCAGCATTACCTTTCTTTACAGATCCGTCACATTTATTCAAAATATTCCAGAATTTTTTTGAATCCATTCTAGCAGTATTTCTTAACTCGCTTGACAATTTCTCCTGATAATTTCTGTAATTTTTATTCAATGTTTTTCTATAAACTTTACTAGCTCTATTGAGATTAGTTTTATTTATAGGATTATTTACTTTGTGAAATAAGGCCTTGGCTTTATTAAATTCAACTCTGTTTAAGTGGCATTCCCTATTAAACCAAGGTTTATTATCACATCTCAACCTCCGTTTCCTGTAAGCATTGTTACTACCAAAAACCTGCTTAGCAGAGCCTTTGAACAATTCACTAATTGAGTTTACAATGTCATTAATTTCGTTATTGGTTACATTGTCGTGTTGTTTATTTAATAATTCATTTAATTTATCATTAATTCTATGGAGATTACCTCTTTCATCATCTAGTATATGTTTTACAAAATCTTGTTCTTTACAGGATTTCCACTTTGTATATCGATTTTCATGACATTCGGTATTATATATACATTCATCAGTTAATTTACAAAGGCTAAATACAAGTCTACAGTGGACATCTGATATGAGTGGGTCAAAAACTTTGATTTCAAAATCTGTTGTATACCGAAACATATCTGACGACAGCAATAGATAATCTATAACGCTGACATCACTACATGTAGTTTTACCTATTTGTGCATCATTTCCAATCCGACCATTGGCAATATACATATTATTTTGCTTGCAGAAGTCAAGCAATTTATTGCCATAATTATTAACTTTAGCTTTACATTGACTAGCCCTTCGCAGAGGAACATTATATAATTTCAACTTTTCAATATCATAGAGATATGAGTATAGCTCATCATTTTCATCTAAGTTTAATGAACGAATGAAGTTATCATCTGGTTCTACAAAATCATCTCTAACTTGGGTTTTAGCATTAAAATCTCCGACTATGGCGACTTTGTTACCATGATGGGATAATTCTATCATCTCCCTTTCAATTTCATTGAACGCTTCCGGGGATGCATACTTAGTATTTTCGGGAGGTATATAAACACATCCCAGTAGAAAATCTAGATCAGAGTTCACAACGTGTTTTGAAAAATTTACCCACAATACATATTCTGATAAAGTTTTAGGAAAAGTCAACATCGACTTGAGAGTTTTCTTAAAAATAATTACTATACCACCAGATTTTTTATATGCATTAGTTCTACATTTAGCAAAATATTCATAGTCAGGCGGTAGTTGTAAATGATCCAGATTATCAATCTTGCTCTCTGCAAAAATAAGTATGTCATGTGCTAGGATTAAGTCTTCAAACTCAGGCAAAAGTATCTTAGACTTAATACCGCAAACATTAAGGAAAGTAAACTTGATAGTGTCTTTATCAATGTCACGGGGTTGACCTCTTGTCGCGTCTCCCTACATGGGGCGACTGTCATTGCGGGGGTTTGGCACGTGACGAGCATTACGGAACTGATGCTGACCACTAGGGGGCGTGGCTGTCTGCCGTCCTTGGGCCGATGAGTGCCATCCAGGTCCTCTGCGAGAATCAGGAGGATGATCTCGGCCTATGGGAGGATGACTAGGATGATGATGCTGAGGTGGGATGTAAAGGTTACCGTCAATGTAGAGTTTATCACCTAGCAGGCGAGCGTGCCTTCCATGCCTCTTGGCTTCCTTAAACACCGGATAGAGTAAACGTCGCCTGTCATTTATTTCCGGCGGGAATTGCTCAAATACAGAGAATTCTCTTTTCCCCGCTAGTTTTGGGGCAGCCTTCAACACTTTGTCTCTATCTTTTCTGCTAGAGAATTTAGCTACTATGGACCTAGGTTTATTATCGGATCTTTTCCTCAGCCTATGGGCAACATGAAGCTGCATTTCCTCTTCAATACCGAGTTCCGTCTTGATGAATTCCTTCACAACAGCCTCGGTGTCTTCATCACGGTCAACATCTGGGATTCCTCCAAATAACAGGTTGTCCTTCATCGATCGTGTTTGGATCTCGAGTATTTGATCTTTCAGTAGGCGATTTTCTTCCCGTACCTCCTCCCGTTCAAGTTCCACTTTGCTGACTCTCTCTTCAAGAATGGAATGGTCGAAATCCGCACCCTCGAGCTGTTCACTGTGTGTTTTAAGTTCACGTTTAACGCCTGATAACGAACTCTCCATACTGCTAAACTTGCCCTCGATGACACTGAGTCTAGACATGATTTGATCCAGTGTATCCAGCTTAGTTAACCGTTGAAATATGTCTCGAAGAATTTGATCACTGAAGTGTGGGGAAATGGTGTCAGGAGTAGGCGAGGTTGCCTGAGGGAACATCAACTGAGGATTCGCAGGAGAACTGGGGGGTATACACGAGCTTTGCATAGGGTACTGCGGGTACTGCGGGGCAGGTTGGAAACATGGTTGCGTGGCGGCCACATTACCATGTGGGGTACCATAGAGATCTCTATGTGCCATAGCCATTACAGTACTCGTGTCCGTATGAGATCTATTACGTTTCTTACCCATGGGCTACACGTGCACACAGTTCAAGGTCATACTGGTTAGTTTACCGTTCTTACACAGTAAACGCACATTAAAATCCGTATTATACAAAAAGATGAACATGTATATGTACATGTACGAATAAACGTTCATAAATAAACCACAGCTTTCCAGGGTGTAACTCCAGTACTAACATACATGTCACATAGGTGAGTATAGTAGTCTGCACGTGCAACACAGGTATCGTTCAGGTACATGTGTGTACCTCAGGTATACAGGTAATGAATGCTATTATGGTCCGCAAAGGGGATATTTCAAAATATTTTTTCAAAATAATGTTACCATTATGTTAGAAATCATCTCACCGTCACACAGTCCAATATTGGGGACTTTCCGGGGTTACTAGAGAGGCATTCTCGGGATAAATTACCGGAGCTCCTTCATACGCTTCTAACCCAACGCCGCCATGTTGTGTTGATACATTGACAATTAACACAATAAAGTTAATTTGATTGACAGCTGTCACTTATCTCTCTATTCTGACTGGTGAGTACGTATACCCGAACAGGTAAGGCAATTAGCCTGTCCTTTGTCCGAGACTTCAGTGTCATACTTGGTAAGACCAGTTAATCTCATTACGTAACATAATTGACCTGAAAGGTATAATAACGGACTTAGATAATCTAATTCCGTGGTATAATGTATAAGATGGACACCAATATTACTGACATGAGTTAATCTGACAACAATGAATCAAAGAAGCTACATTTAAACATAGAGGTTTTCTTAAATGGTACAAATGTAATCAAATAGCTTTTAGGTATGAAATTGTTACTGAACGAAATTAAATGGCGAAAGTTTGTAAGAGGAAATCCAAAATAATGAATGAGACGAAATGTTAAATTAATGTTCATAAATAGCACTATTATCATAAAATGCTTTATGATAATAATGTGAACGGGTGGGGTGTCCTGCTGGGTGTCTTCGGCAGTATGTTTCAGTGAGGAAGCACTACAAAGTCGACATCAGTTCCGCGCTATCACAAGGAGACAAACACGAACATATAGCAGCCTCCCAAAACACACACGCATACACTACACGCATGCATCTTACACACAGGGGAGGCCGTCCTTAAATTACCTTAGCTGTTGATAGGACGTTATACAATACTAAACCAAACCAAACCAAACCCTATACATGTACCTCAGGATCAGTAAAGAAACTAGATATTGGATTTTACCGCGTGCATTGAAATACAAAGTAGACCCTACTAGCTTTCTCCAGATATTATTTATTTATTATTTTTATTCTTTTTATATTTTTACTACGGTATTAGATTTGCTATCTAAGTCCGTATTTTTTACTCAGCATTTTTGCCGCAAGTAACAAATCGTAAAACTATCGATAGTTAAAACATACAATGTATGCAATACAATTACAAAAGGACTGGATACAAGTTATTGCAACTTATAATCGCCCTTCACATAATGCCTTACAAGATATAAGTATAATGCAGTTTCCAATAATATATACTAGTAAATTAATTTATTTTAGCCTTACTTGTTTCAGAATTAAAACTAAATTAAGTTAACAGACTTATAACAATGTTATATAACGAACTTATAACAATGTTGACCCAGTTTGACGATAAACACATTCATTACTCACTACAAAATATCAATTAAAGAGCTAATTAACTTTTGATATCAGATCTATGATAAGGGAGGTCTTATGTTACCGTGATAATAATAAATAACCTTGTCTGATAATTTACTCACACGCTAACTGAACAAGTTTCTTCTACTCTCTAGACGAGTGTTTTTTTTTTTATATATTTTGTAGTGCCCCCTCGTCCTGTTGCTATAAATCTATCTGAAACATGTTGATGAGTTAAAAATCCTCAACCAAAACTTCTGAAACGTTTACTCCGACGCAATACAGTACAAAACACTACAATACATTACAAAACACTACAATACAGTACAAAACACTACAATACAGTACAAAACACTACAATACAGTACACCACAATACAGTACAAAACACTACAGTACAAAACACTACAATACAATACAAATACAGTACAAAACACTACAATACAGTACAAAATACGACAATGCAGTACAAAACACTACAATACAGTACAAAACACTACAATACAGTACAAAACACTACAGTACAAAACACTACAATACAGTACAAAACAATACAATACAGTACAAAACACGACAATGCAGTACAAAACACTACAATACAGAAATCTTTATTTAAAGTCGGGTAAGTGTACAACAGTAAAAAAAAAATAGCGCAAGAGAGCTATTGATCCGACTACACGTAAATGAAAACAGTGACATTAAAGCATACCGCACAATACAGGAAATAAGAATAAAAAGCTAAACTTAATAATGCTAAACAAACACCAAACACATAAGAAACTATAAGCATATGTTCAGCACTAAGATTAAGAAAAGCACTAAAAATTAAGAGTAACACTAAAATAATTAACGTAACGAATAATTAAAGCTATTGAGAGTGTTATCATCTGCTTAGTTATAGATCTAGAGTGTGCAGTCTTTGATGAAGTAAAACAATATCCTTTATGGAATAACCGACAACAATATATCGGACACAACCAACGCAAATTTACAATATAACTGCCAGTTGACCAGCGGGAGACGGTCAGCATGAAACTAGATTAGTTCGGATGATGGTAATGAGATTGGTTCGGATGATAAGATTGATCTCTGTAGGCAGAGTATTACATATTCAAACGCGCGTATGACGTTTCTAAGTAAAACAATCTCCATGAAAGAAGAGCACAGACTTCATTAACAAGAAGTTATTTTGGTATTTTAAAGATTTTGAATGTACAGTTAAGAAAGAGAAAAGGTAATCAAAAACATGTCGAGAAGGTACGTAGGCATAAATACTGATATGATACATGTAGTTCGTCTTGCGTGCACATTTTTTTTCTTGAAACGACTCGAAAACAGCTCGGGTTTTCTGGCACTGGTTTCAACTTTCATCGGTTTCGGAGCCTACGACTGCAATTTCACACAAATATAGGTTGAAATTGGCAAGAATTGTGATTAACATGTGTACACTCGATAGATCGAAACGAAAAACTAGTAACTTTACAAAAAACCCGGAGAAAAGTTTGACAACAAATCTCACCTACCGAGCACAGAAGAATTTGTTACAGCTACTGTATATTTGGACCTAAACTAACATGTATGTTAAAGGGGTTAAGATCGACTTTCGGTCATTTTGGGGGAAATAAGGCACTTTTTAGCTAGGGGAAACAGCCTGTATTCGTCTGTAAAACTGAGCAAAAAAATCACTGAAAAGGTATTGGGTCACCTACCCTTGAGTCAGAGTGCCATAAAGTTTTTTCTGGGTGCTCTTATTTTCTCATTAAGCCCTCTATACAGTATAGATACACTTTCATTGAGCCAATAAGAGCGATTAACACAAACAGGAAAAAAACTGTTTCATATTTGTTGTAAATAAATAAAGTATATTTATATTTCATTTCCAGACACACATTCAGGCAGTGAAATTAAAAAGAATAGCTGTTGTTGCAGCTTGAAAAACTCCCAGGCTGGTTTAGCACAAATTGACATAGATGGCTACAAAATGTGCTGAATTTAGTACTTAGAGATGGAGACACTTTAAAGCATAATCAACATGAGAACTTTGGAGTAGGAAACTCAAGGTAGGACATGTATGCCTTTTTCATTAACTTTTCTCTTAACTAATAATAATAATATATAATATTTATATAGTGCCCTATATCATTTGTAAAATTACTCTAAAGCTTTTTACAACATATGGATAATAGTATTAGTTATAATTGTGAAACAAAAACAAAGGATTACAATCACTTAAAACATTAAGCAAGCAGATAATCATTGCAATGTGCACATAAATGAATAAATAAACAATTCAGATTTAATAATGATAAGCATGGATTCTGTGCTCAAACCTGAGCTTTCTTGTAATTATAACTCACTAAAATCATGTTAAACAATCAGGAAGTCAAACGTTAACATTGAAAACAGTAAGATTCTTCAAATGTTCTTCCGAGTCATTTACATTTTTTTTTTTATTAATTTATGACCAAAACAAATTATGCTTGAGCACAAAATTCATGCTTGAGTGTGAGAAAATGTTCATGAATTCAGGCCCTGATTTGTTGTACTCACACAACACTTGATCTTGTGCCCTCATACAACACTTGATCTTGTGCCCTCACTCAACACTTGATCTTGTGCCTCCACACAACACTTGATCTTGTGCCCCACACAATACTTGATATTGTGCCCTTACTCATCACTTGATCTTGTGTCCTCACTCAAAACTTGATCTTGTGCCCTTACTCAACACTTGATCTTGTGCCCTCACTCAACACTTGATCTTGTACCCTCACACAACATTTAATCTGCTGCCATCTCACAACTCTAAAGATATTTCATCTACCACCTTCCCTGGAAGTGTTTTCCTTGTTTCCTAAGCCATTGTTAGATATAAAAAGTTATTTCAGTTTGTCAGCATGTGCTCTCAAATTTAACCCATGTTGTGGTAATCAGTTTTTTTTGATGAACATAGATAAAAGTAATTGCCCTTATTAGCAAATAGGAACAGGATACACCAATAAATATTATTAGTAGGGAAAGAATATATAGATTCTTATTGAATTTGTATCTTATATAGCCCATATAGCTCTTATATTGTATCTTATATCAGCCCAATACCAAGTACATCCAAGGCCAATTAAAGGATGACCTGTAATAAGATCTTTGCACAACCTTGACACTGTTGTCTCCAATTTAGCACAGTGATTGACTTGATACTTCTCCATTGATATTTAGGTTGCCGCAGGAGACAGTGTTTGCAGATAGCAATGTGTCATCCAATATATTTATATACACATTGTTGTCAATATTCTTCTTTATATACCAGGGTTACCTGAAGCCTTATTTATATACCCAGGGTTATTTGAATCTTTATTTATATACCAGATACCAAGAGTAATCAGGATCCATATTCATACCCATGGTTACCAGAATCCTTATGTATACCCTGGTTACAAGAATCCTTATGTATACCCTGGTTACCAGAATCCGTACGTATACCCATGGTTACCAGAATCCTTATGTATACCCATGGTTACCAGAATCCTTATGTATCCCCTGGTTACCAGAATCCTTATGTATACCATGGTTACCAGAAACCTTATGTATCCCCTGGTTACCAGAATCCTTATGTATACCATGGTTACCAGAAACCTTATGTATACCCTGGTTACCAGAATCCTTATTTATACCCATGGTTACCAGAATCCTTATGTATACCCTGGTTACCAGATTCCTTATGTATACCCTGGTTACCAGAATCCTTATACATACCCTGGTTAGCAGAATCCTTATGTATACCCTGGTTAGCAGAATCCTTATGTATACCCTGGTTAGCAGAATCCTTATGTATACCCTGGTTAGCAGAATCCTTCTGTATACCCTGGTTATCAGAATCCTTATGTATACCCACGGTTACCAGAACCCTTATGTATACCCTGGTTACCAGAATCCTTATGGATACTCAGGTTACCAGAATCCTTATGTATACCCTGGTTACAAGAATCCTTATGTATCCCCTGGTTACCAGAATCCGTACGTATACCCATGGTTACCAGAATCCTTATGTATCCTGTGTACCCTGGTTACCAGAATCCGTACGTATACCCATGGTTACCAGAATCCTTATGTATCCTGTGTACCCTGGTTACCAGAATCCGTACGTATACCCATGGTTACCAGAATCCTTATGTATACACTGGTTACCAGAATCCTTATGTATACCCTGGTTACAAGAATCCTTATGTATAACCTGGTTACCAGAATCCTTATGTATACCATGGTTACCAGAAACCTTATGTATACCCTGGTTACCAGAATCCTTATTTATACCCATGGTTACCAGAATCCTTATGTATACCCATGGTTACCAGAATCCTTATGTATCCTGTGTACCCTGGTTACCAGAATCCGTACGTATACCCATGGTTACCAGAATCCTTATGTATACCCATGGTTACCAGAATCCTTATCTATACCCTGGTTACCAGAATCCTTATGTATACCCGTGGTTACCAGAATCCTTATGTATACCCTGGTTACCAGATTCCTTATGTATACCCTGGTTACCAGAATCCTTATTTATACCCATGGTTACCAGAATCCTTATGTATACCCTGGTTACCAGAATCCTTATGTATACCCACGGTTACCAGAACCCTTATGTATACCCTGGTTACCAGAATCCTTATGTATAACCTGGTTACCAGAATCCTTATGTATACCATGGTTACCAGAAACCTTATGTATACTCTGGTTACCAGAATCCTTCTGTATACCCACGGTTACCAGAATCCTTATGTTTACCCATGTGCAGTGGCGGATCCAGAGACCTATCTGGGGGGGNTGGGAGTGTTTCCATGTTGGAAAAAATTGAGGAAAATGGTGAAAATATATGATTTTTAAAGAAAATTCCAGGGGAGGGGGGGGGGGTCCTGAAGCCCAAAAAACCCCTCTGGATCCGCCACTGATGTGGTTACCATAATCCTTCTGTATACCCTGGTTACCAGAATTCTTATGTATACCCTTGTTACCAGAATCCTTATGTATACCCTGATTACCAGAATCCTTATGTATACCCTGGTTACCAGAATCCTTATGTATACCCTGGTTAGCAGAATCCTTATGTATACCCTGGTTAGCAGAATCCTTCTGTATACCCTGGTTATCAGAATCCTTATGTATACTCTGGTTGACAGAATCCTTATGTATACCCTGGTTACCAGAATCCTTATGTATACACTGGTTACCAGAATCCTTATGTATACCCTGGGTACCAGAATCCTTATGTATACCAATGGTTACCAGAATCCTTATGTATACCCTGGTTATCAGAATCCTTATGTATACCCTTGTTTTCCGAATCCTTATCTATATACACAGGATTATCAGAATCCTTATTTATAACCAGGGTTATCAGAGCTCATATTTATACCCAGGGTCATCAGAGCTTATATTTATACCTAGGGTTATCAGAATTCTAATTTATACCCAGGGTTATCAGAGCCCATATTTATACCCAGGATTATCAGAATCCTTATTTATACCCAGGATTATCAGAATCCTTATTTATACCCAGGATTATCAGAATCCTTATTTATACCCAGGATTATCAGAATCCTTATTTATACCCAGGATTATCAGAATCCTTATTTATACCCAGGATTATCAGAATCCTTATTTATACCCAGGATTATCAGAATCCTTATTTATACCCAGGATTATCAGAATCCTTATTTATACCCAGGATTATCAGAATCCTTATTTATACCCAGGATTATCAGAATCCTTATTTATACCCAGTATTATCAGAATTCTAATTTATACCCAGGGTTAATTATCAGAGCCCATATTTATACCCAGGGTTATCAGAGCCCATATTTATACCCAGGATTATCAGAATCCTTATATATACCCAGGATTATCAGAATCCTTATTCATACCCTGGTTACCAGAATCCTTATATATACCCAGGATTATCAGAATATTCATGCCCATGGTTTTCAAAATCAGTTGATTTTCTCTTCACAAGTAATATAACCATGCAAACTGGTATATATAGTTACAATGCAAACTCTCGTGTGGAATTGTGGTGTTGCCAATCGATAAAATGATTGTGATGTGGACATTTTTATGTTTGCAATGGTTTCTGAAATCTTTCAATGTTTGGTATCTGTAACTTAAACATACACCGGGGATAGAAATGATATAAACTATATCTGTAATTTATACATACACCAGGAATAGAAATGATAAAAACTATATCTGTAACTTATACATACACCAGGGATAGAAATGATAAAAACTATATTTGTAACTTATACATACACCGAGGACAGAAATGATAAAAACTAACTCTCACATTGTAACTTATACATACACCAGGGATAGAAATGATATAAACTAACACTCACATTGTAACTTATACATACACCAGGGACAGAAATGATAAAAACTATATCTGTAACTATACATACACCAGGGACAGAAATGATAAAAACTATGTCTGTAACTTATACATACACCAGGGATAGAAATGATAAAAACTATATTTGTAACTTATACATACACCGAGGACAGAAATGATAAAAACTAACTCTCACATTGTAACTTATACATACACCAGGGATAGAAATGATATAAACTAACACTCACATTGTAACTTATACATACACCAGGGACAGAAATGATAAAAACTATATCTGTAACTATACATACACCAGGGACAGAAATGATAAAAACTTACTCTCACATTGTAACTTATACATACACCAGGGATAGAAATGATAAAAACTATATCTGTAACTTATACATACACCAGGGACAGAAATGATAGAACCTAACTCTCACATTGTAACTTATACATACACCATGGACAGAAATGATAGAAACTAACAATCAAATAAATAGAGGTGAGATGTGTTTATCACAACATTCAATAGCACTGCCGACTAGCCCATTGCGTCTTCTTCAGATATACTGTATACCAGGAAACCTTCATCCTGTCAAACACTTTAATGGTGAAATCCATAGGTGCTAACATGTTAAAACAATATGTATGCTGTTTGCTAAGATTGGTTGT